AGTCGACTCTACTCATTAATATGTTCTATGTTCTACTTAGTTGAAAATAAAAACCACAAACATCTAATATCTTTTCAGTGGTAAATGCTGGCAGGTATATTAGACTTAAATATTCTAGGTCATCACATTCTAAAAATAAATGTCAATAAGACATTTCAACCCTAATTAATATATAATAATGTTGATTCGGGGTGGAACATCGTATAGGGCGGTCAGCATGTATAAGTGTAGGCAGTGGGGGCGCGGCGGACAGTGCGCGGCCGGCCGCGTACCACACAGCCGCCTGGCACCGACGCTTTGCTAAACCTCCTAAATGGAACAATCAGAATAGTGTAAACCTGACCTTTCGACGATACCGTGGTAACCAAAATGCCGGTTCTGTTCCAGAGATCTGGGCAAGTGCGGGCAAAATCAGGCCGTAAGTGATCGTAGTGTGTGATTGATTTCAGTGCGATAAAAATACCAGTATGTATGACCGTTTTCCCTTTGTGTGGTGCATGTTAATCCTCCCCCCAGGAGAGTTGCTATCGGAAAGTTTGTTTTGACTGAATTATGTACTTTTAAACGGTTCCCTGCGTATATTTCGTGTAAATATGTATATTTGAAACTGCGATATTTTTTGACGGCAATTTACTTTAAATGGAATGCTACGACATTTTAGCCAATATTTACAAATATTTTACCATCTACAGTTTCAAATATTATGTGCAATTGTATAAAATTTATGTAGTTTTTTTTTAAATTGTCAAATATAAGTGTTTAGCGCATTGTTTAAGACAAACTACCCACGGGAGATGAAGACGCGCATAACATCGTCGAGTTTTTATTTATTAACGAGTACAACGTACCGTATGATTCAAGTTGCAATGTGTAGGCGCATGCTAACGACCGGCGAATTCTCACAGCTATCATCACTGTGCTTTAACATCAGGATCTCATAATATTGTGACTTGTCGTTATTTTGAAATCTTTTGGGAAGCTTGTACCTACAAGCGTTTTAGAATAAGACTTTAACAGCCATGTCATTCAATTGTGCCGATGATAATAGGTCCTTACGAAATATAGGTTTGTAAATGTAGTTAAAAATTATACCAATTTCAGGTATTTAAGTTATTGGCTTAAACTACTCGTGCGTTACTCCAAAGTTATAAAATCCAAAGGTTCTATTTTATAATTTTTCGATTACTGAATATGTACTCCTATGTATACTTCTAGATTACGACGAAGGTAGGGATGGCATAGAATGGCAACTTTATGATAAAACGCATTTTCTGCTGTAATCTTCTTGAAATAACTTAAACATTCATGTTAGTTTTTCAAAGACAAGACATTAAGATAATCTAGTAAATAATTTATGACCTAATAATTATGATTACAGATGACGAAAGGATTGTGAGATCATCAAATCAAATAAGATTCTCTACGCTCAATGTGTTCTCATCGTCCGTTCGTCACGGAAACGGTCACGTTGTAGGGTCAAGTGAAATCGCACTTTTGTCACGGTTGCTGTAATTAATTAGGCTCTTGATAATTTGCACGCACGTGTTATGATAATTATTGACAGAATAACCGTGTCGATCTTCTTAGTTCAATAAACATAAACACAAAAATTACATTTCTTCCGGAAAATTGTTTGTTTAATACATTTAAACCTAAACACGTCCAACTTTCCAGTCTGATAAGTCCGTGAGACTAATAAATTACAATAGAAGTGCATAAATAGGCCGACGTTCCTTGCAAGGAAACGGGCAGGTTTCACGCGCGATAATGCCCGACGTTGACTCGTTGAACGCCTTGCAACGCCTATCTCCACGCTTACTTGCTTGTAGGGCAAAGTAAACTTGCGAGGATTTATAATGGTCATTATGTGCCGATAAAATATTTTACATATTTGTAACTTATTTAATACTAGTTTCATATATATGATGATTGTTTGTATGTCTGGTCTTCTTAAATTTCCTTATTACTGTATTAGTATTTATTTTAAATAGGTGAATTTTTCAAGTTAATTTAGAAGCAATATCCTAAACTATAGAGAATACCATAAAATGTTCAAGGTAATTGAGCTAAATAAGATAAAACTTTCTAACTGTATTTATTATTAAAAATTCTCATTTTTTAAAACCATTTCTTTTTCTAACAAAAAAACGGATAAAATAATAAAATATACTGTACCTATAATTGAGTTCCCTGTATATGGGTCAATTGATTGAATTTTCATTAGCAATGTACAATATAGAAAATTAGAATATGTTAAGTATGTAGACGGGGGAAGGTTTTGTTGGGTTTTAGTGGGTAGTACTGGCTTTGCCGGTGAGTCCCACGCCTCGTGCGTAAATGAATTTCCCAACGTTAAAAAAAAGTATGTAAAATTTTAAATTACATTATTAACGGATTGTTCGAAACGCTAACTGCCTTTCGTAGAATTAGGTTGATCTAGACTGCAAAGCTTACCAATTTAGGTTTAGGATATGTGGTTTACAGGATTTCGAGTTAAAATTTTACTACGAAGTTGATGTTAGGTTTGTTAGAGCTGTTTGTGGTTCTCGTTTAATCACAATACTTGAAGTTGAGGCACAATCATACCGCGCCTGTGCACTGCCAATCTAGACGTTTCCGCATTAAGCTCTTCTATGCTAACATGACTTAGCTAGATAAAACAAACTTACCTCGTTGTAAATTTCCGTAAGCATTGTATGTATTCAGCCCTTTTTGTCGTCCCACTGCTGGGCACGGGCCTCCCTTCAGTACGAGGGGAATCAGGCCATAGTCCACCACGCTGGCCAAGTGCGGGTTGGCGAACTTCACATGTCTTTCGAAAACTTGCTAGGTTCTCTCATACATGCAGGTTTCCTCACGATGTTTGCCTTCACCGTAAGGCAAGTGATAATCATGTTGGAAATGATTCGCACATGAAAATATCAGAGGTGCGAGACGCGGGATTTGAACCCGCTTCACTCGGTTTCCCTAGCGAGCGCGTTACCACTGGGCTACCACTGCCTTTTCCGTAAGCATTTGCTAGCTGTAAAATATATTTGAATCTACCAAGTTACAAAATTTTTACTAGGTTGATATATGCCTGCTTTGTCTATTTGCAATTTTCCTACTCACGTAATAACAATAATTTGTAAATATGTATGGAATGGGAACAATAATATTATACATAAAGGTATTTGTATACTGAGCATAGTTTAATTTTTTTTTGGAGTAAAACTTCTTAGGTGTGACTGAGGGGTAAGTCAATGTACATTGGATAAAAACTTAAAAAAATTTAATAAAAACCGACTTCAAAAAAACACTAAATTAAGTAAAAAATAACTGATTGGTAGTTTTCATTTACCATAGTTACCTAATCAATAATTTTCGAAATCGGTGTGCTTTGATTTGTATCGGCTGGCACCGATAAAACTTAGGATCTAAGTGAGAGACGTGCATTTATCCCAGTACGACTCGAAATATGCATTTCAACTTTTATCGATATTAAAACCTGTTTGTATTTTCCTGGCAGTTATCTCGGCAAACTAATGCAACTAATTAGATATACTTATTACCATTGATGAAGGCAACCATAATCTGCTTTACTTTTAGTGACATCTTTATCTATATTTTTTAATTTGAAATAGTTTCTTCGAGTATTCGATAGATATAAAACGCGATTTTCATTCAAAGAACTTTACCACATTAATCATAAAAGCACACATCGATCGATGCTTATCTGACGTCATGGTGTTACATTTTTCATCGCGTTTCAAAAGCCAGCCACCATACCAACGTTCCTATATCAGCTGCTAGCTACTATTTTCCAATTTCAGTCTATCGTTTAACAATTGATACCAATTGTTCAACTGTTGATGACATCAGTTGTGTGCCTGCTATTGTGCTGAGTGCTTTGTTTTTCTTTTACTAGTATTGAATTTATTTTGGTGTCGCATTTATTTGATCTTTCAGTTCGTTAATGTTTTAAATATTATTTTAATTATATCTGAATCATCTTTTTCTGTCGTGTTAATAATAGGGTATGTTCTATTTATAGAAGATCGCCGGCATCAACACTACTGCAGGAGCTAAATTTTTTATACTTAATACCTTTTAAGTGGTTACGAGTACTTAAACTATTTCCAAAAGCAGTTTTATTGTAAACCAAGGCCGTCTTATATCTTGTTTTGGGTATTGTTCTATATATGCAGTTTCGCACACGGTCGCCGTGCGCGTGCGTCACGGTTCATTGCCTTGAGTACGGAAAGAGATCCTAATATGGCGGTCGGCAGGCGCAAGATTGCCTTGCGCCAACGCTCAACTGCCATTTCAAACTATCCGTCAACTACAGTACACACGTCAATTGTTTAAAATCTAGACCAAATAGAGAAATATAATAGCTAATTTTAAAGGATGACAACGCAATGAATTGCCAAAGACATTAATAGACCAAATATAATATAGAGACTGATATTGCCAAACATGTGTTGCTCGTGGTTGCGTTGTCGGCGGCGAGTGGCCGACTCGGCTGAAACCTCAGCACCCACTGAGGCGTTTGAGAAATCCGCATCGCCGGAGGAACCAGTGGAGGAACAGAAGCCTAAGTCACGTAAGACGTAGGCTGTTATCGCACGTTACATTTATCGCTTTTGCACGGTCCTCTTTGTTTCATTCCACAATCCAGGCATTTAGACATTTGTTTATTGATAATGTGTGTTATGGTATTTTATCAGATTATCATACAGAATATATTGGTTTTATTTGAATTCGTGTCTTGTTATATCCATTTTCATTTTATTATAGCGATATTGTTTTTGCTTTATTATTTTTTTATATTTTGTTTAAGGGCTAAACTACGTACGAAAAGTAAGTTGTGTCTTTATATAGTAGATTTTTTGTTACCCTCAGCATTTTCACAATTAAATATTTATTGGTATTTAAAAAACCAAATTGATTTAATGGACTTATAACAAACAAAATTAATTTTTGCCGCTACTAAAATAAAAATCTCTTTTGGGTTATAGCGCCGTCGCGCGTCACCCGCAACAATCAGATGCGGCTGTCGAACGCGGGCGGCGCGTACACGAACGGTCACGGCGGGGACACCACGGGGCGGCGTGGTGCGGAGAATGTGCCACCACCACAAGCCCAGCCTGTGCCCAATTCTAGGATTACACAACAGGTGGGTGTTCAATGTGTAACATTTATAAGAAATATATTAGGTGATTTTTGTAGTTTATACTTTTAGCGGATAACCGAAACATGTTGTGTTTTGATAAACAATACATACATGTACTTACTCATTAAGTTTAGTTTTTATGCGAAGCCTTCTTTTTTGCTCGTCAGTGTTTTAATCTTTTTATGTTATTGCTTACAAATATGCAGGTTGTCCTGTGGCGTTTTCCTTCACTGTTATTTCATATTGAAAATGGTTCACAAATTAGAGGTGCCCGAGGTTGGAACCTGCTTGGTTTCCAAAGGAGCGCCTTACCACTGCGTTCTGCACTAAATAATAATTATTTAAAAATATGCAATCTAACAAGTAATTAAGCCAAAACATCACATTACACACCTACTCCTGTAAACCAATCCTTTTCCATAGCACACTCCATCGTCCGGCGGACGCTCCCGCACAGTGAGCACGCCTAGCGCGTCGTCGGTAGTGCCGAGTGTGCAGCCTCTACAGGCCCAACGACGAATGCCTAACATTAAAGAGGTTCCTGTCCTTATCCCATGCTCCTTTAGATTCATTTCATAATTCACCATATATTATAATCGTAGATTTCATATTTTATTTCATAGTTATTGCTCTTTTGAAAAAAGTACATGTATTGTCTGCACAGTTAGTTAATTTTGTTGAACGTTAAACACTAATACATTATTTTTTTTAGATTGTGCAAAAATTGTTTGGGGTGTTATTATATATTCCTTTAAAAGGTTACTTTAGTAAATTCACTTTTAAAGGATGGAGTCAATATGATAGTTTCCTCACACTCTTCTCTTGTTCCCCTCTCTATCCTCTTCCTTTAACTAACGTGCGAGCGTATTAGATTATAGCGTGGACTTTTCAGAAAATTGTTGTTGTTTTTCTTAAATTTGTATTTAGGATCAACCTAATAATCTATCAGTGGCTAACTAAAGCTATTATTGTATATATATTTCCAAAAAATTAAATGTATGTAAATTTATAGCAAAATACATTTTAAGGTATGACGTCTTGTATGGACCCTTCGCCACTGTAACCTATTCAATAAAATAAGAAATACATAAGTTCCACCTTGTGAAGTCGGTAAAACAAAACAATGATCCCTCAGTTCAACCCGCCGGTGTCGTCGGCGCGGCCAGCGGCGGTGTCGAGCACGGTGTCGGTGCCGCACGCGGTGGCGTCGGGCGCGGTGCGGCGCTCCAACGTGGTGAAGGAGGTGGAACGGCTGAAGGAGAACAGGGAGAAGAGGAGGCAGCGGCAGGCGGAGCTGAAGGAGGAGAAGGTGGGTGCTGTGGATGTTTATTTTAGCTAATTGTTATCTATGTTAATAATTTCTTAAGTATTATTGATTATTATATGTTAAATAAAACTAAGTTTCGGATTTTGTCGAGGATGTATTTTGATTTTTGGTTACCGGCAATCATGGTCACGGGAGTCACGTGACCATGAAAAATTCCAAACGGTAGTTTTATCTATACATATAATAAAATTGTAACTAAGCCGAATCTGTACATTAAATATTTTTTGTAAAATCTTATTGAAATGAACATTATTATCGATACAGAGGCGAAATCTAAAGTTTTTAGAATTTTTGCCTGTCTGTCTGTTACCGCATCACAGAAAACCACTGGAGGGATTTTGATGAAATTTGGTATTTTTGGCACGTTTGGGAAAAATTATGAGAGTAAAAATTTTACGACGCGCGCGTACACCGACAAGCAAAAAGCGACATGATGAAGTTCCTGCATTCCTTTTACAAGCAGAGAGTTGTGACATACGGGATGAAATCTTTAGTTATTTTAGTTTTGATACGCCAAAGAAGTATAACTTCTTACATGCGTACATAAGTACACCCACACGGTTTCTTACAATACATATTTGTATACTCACCACCTTTCAGGAAGCCCTAATGAACATGGACCCCGGCAACCCCAACTGGGAGTTCCTGGCCATGATAAGGGAGTACCAGAACAGCATCGAGTTCCGACCGCTCACGGGCAACGAGCCGGTGGAGGACCACCAGATCACCGTGTGCGTGAGGAAGAGGCCGCTCAATAAGAAGGAGGTGGCTAAGAAAGAGGTATGTATGACTGATTGTTTTTTTATTGCTCGATTTTAAAATGAAGGAGATCTTTGTCATTTCATATAAATTAAAAAAAAAATCTCTAAGTGTCGTTATATTTAATTGTATGAATATTTTGAACTTTTTTTTAGAAAAAAGTAATTGTCCAAACCTAGTTTAAAAATACTTAATATTCCCTCACCTGCTAGACACGGGCTTCAGTTTGATAGGATATGGCCAGGCCAAGTAGTCCACCATGCTGACTAAGCATGGGCTGGTGATCTTGACAAGTGTCTTTCGTAATTTAGTTAGCTTTTCTCAGACATGCGACTTCTTCTCCAGATTACTAAGTGGTTATCATGTTGAAAAAATTAACGGGATGACCTATATATTTCTATGGACAATAAACTAGAATATTAATCTCCCATCCATTAAATTCTCAATCCATATTAGCAGTAAACATTTATCAGAAATATATATAAAATATTATAATAAAATGTTTGTAGTACATATTTATTTTTTATATTTTCAGGTGGATGTTATCAGTGTTCCTACAAAGGATCAAATGATAGTTCACGAGCCGAAGAACAAAGTGGATCTCACAAAATATTTGGAAAACCAGAAATTCAGATTTGACTATGCTTTTGACGATTCCTGCACGAACGAAGTAGTCTATAAGTAAGAGGAGATTCTTTAATATATTCATGAATGAAGCTGATATAAATTATTATTATATTTGATTTATCAACGACTCTTCACGACATATAGTGAATATTAGTATTTTACTTTAGCCATGAAAAAAGTACAGTTATAATAATTAATAATTACTTTTTTTATGTTTTATATAAAGGTAGGTACGTTTTAACGGTTTGTATGGAATAGGTAGACTATATATTATATGATATATAGCCTATAGCCTTCCTCAATAAACGGGCTATTTAATACAAAAATAATTTTTCAAATCGTATTAATAAGTAGCTCCTGAGATTAGCGCATTCAAATAAACAAACAAGCTCTGTCTCTTTATAATATTAGTGTAGATGACTTGTTAATTTTGTCCTGTAAATATATTAATTTATAATATTGTAATATTATAAATATAAATATGAATGACGACAAGTTTGACTCAGTTTGTTGACCATACTTGCTGGTCCAGTGGTCGCGGGTTCGATTCCCGCTAAGGGCCTTCATTTGATGAGCACGAATGTTTATACTCCAGTCATGGGTGTTTATATTTATAATATTATGTATGCATTTAAAGTTACATTTGTGTAGGTTATCCACTATCTGGTATCCATAACACAAGCCTCGTAGTTTACCACGGAACTAGTTGGTGCTGTGTATTAATGTCCCAACGCATTTATTTATTTTATAAATGTTAAAGGTACACGGCTAAGCCATTAGTGCAAACGATCTTCGAGGGCGGCATGGCCACGTGCTTCGCGTACGGGCAGACCGGCTCCGGCAAGACGCACACCATGGGCGGCGACTTCCAGGTACATTTCAAAACACAATTTATTAAATAAAAAAACTATTCTAGTTCTGTAGTCTTGAAATAATTTTCAATTAACTATAAAATGTTGCTTCATATCAAAGAATTGTTAATTGAGTTGGGAATTAATGCTGCAATCATTTACTTTTATACACTTAAAACTATACCCCGTAAGCTGCCTATCGAGGCAAACCACAAAAACTATGGGGTTGCCTGTCCTTTCTGCTCTCAGACAAATACTAGGAACAACCCACATAGCATACTTTCCACATAACGTGCTAGGAAAACGTTCAAGCGCCACAAGCGAGCTTTAACTACTCAAATAAAACTTATTATTTAAAAAAAAATTGTAAGAAAAAATCGTCTTTTTTTTGTAGATTTTAGTATTTTTAACCCCTTACTCAAAAAGAGCGGTGTTATAAGTTTAACGTGTCTGTGTATATGTGTGTCTATCTGTGGCATCTTAGCGCTTAAACGAATGAACCGATTTTAATTTAGTTTTTTGTTTGAAAAGTAAGTTGATCGAAAGTGTTTTTAGCTATAAATCAAGAACATCCATTTAGCGAGACGGTAAAATGATATGAGCAACTTCCACAGACCTAATCGATTCGAAACTTAGTATACCTTCCCGTTACCTGAAATCTGTAAGTTGCTCAACTTTACTAAAATACTGCAGACATATCGAGTTTATGCTCATTGAAATCGCCTCAATAGGTTAATGTGTGAGGGTTTTTTTTTAATTTTTAATTTAAGAGTTATAAAGTGTTAATTGCCAACCCGCACTTGGCCAGCGTGGTGGGCTATGGTCTGATCCTCCTCGTATATAAGGGAGGCCCGTGGCCAGCAGTGGGACGTTAAAAAATGCTGAATACAAAGTGTTAATTTATGTGTGTTTATTATGTATTTCCAGGGCAAAATGCAGGACTGCAAGAAGGGAATATACGCGATGGCAGCGCGCGATGTTTTTGTGTACCTGAAGTCGCCCAAGTACAAGCCGCTCAACCTCATCGTGTCCGCCTCCTTCTTCGAGATATACTCCGGGAAGGTGGGTGCCAACATTATGAATACTATTATCGAGTATTATTTTCATTTAATTATAATAATAATAAGCCTTTTATTTCCTTAATATAAAATAAAATTTACAATTAGTTTTACAGTTATTTGATCTGACTAATTGAATATATTTATAAAACATTATAATTAAATTAATGTTCTTTTTGTTTTTTTTAATGAATAATTTTAATGACTTGAGAACGAACATTCGCGCTCATGAATGAATGCCCCCCAGCGGGAAACGAACCTGCAACTCTGGCACAGCAAGTAGGGTCACTACCAACTGAGCCAAATGTGTCGTCAACGTATGTACATATATACTATGTTCATAATATATTGTATTGCAGGTTTTCGATCTACTAGCGGACAAGGCGAAGCTGCGCGTGTTGGAGGACGGCAAGCAGCAGGTGCAGATCGTGGGGCTCACGGAGAAGGTGGTGGACAACGTGGACGAGGTGCTCAAGCTCATACAGCACGGCAACGCCGCCAGGACCTCTGGGCAGGTGGGTGACACTTGACCACACTGACACCGCAGCTAAATGGCTTAAATAGAGAAATCAAAATGTCTCGTTTGTCTGTTAAGAAATAAAAAAATTGCAATGGCACTCCATACATTTAACACGGAAACTTTCCTATTCTTATAGCAATGCTAAATAAGAAGTTAGCTATGACGCTATTTAATTTTATGTAAAAATGTATTTATGTAATAATGTGTTTATTATTTTGTATGAGAGTTCTATAAAATCCAGTCAAATGCAAGTCGGAATCGCACACGAAGGGTTCTGTACTATCGTACAAGATATAGCACTATTTACTAATCGATTTTTTTTAGCTGACAGACCGACGGGCGGACACCTTTGACTTAGTAATATGGTACCGTTGGCACCTTTCGTGCACGGAACGCTAAAGATGATCAACTTTATTAAATATTTCAAGTCTTTAAGTCCAGCAGTTCCGATAGTATTCATAACTCGCACTAAGTACAGATGATGATCGTATGTATGTGTGTTGTCGTCGGTTCCAGACGTCGGCGAACTCGAACTCGTCGCGGTCGCACGCCGTGTTCCAGATCGTGGTGCGGTCGCCCGGCATGCACCGCGTGCACGGCAAGTTCAGCCTCATCGACCTCGCCGGCAACGAGCGCGGCGCCGACACCTCCTCCGCCAACCGCCAGACGCGTACGTACACACTATACTCGCACTCACGCGTTGCCCTGTTGTACAGCAGTGGCGAAGGATCCATACAAGACGTCTTACCTTAAAATTATTTTGCTATAATTTTACATACATTTAATTTTTTAAATGTATAAATGTTCTTCTGGAAATATATATGTTATAATAGCTTTATTTCTCTAGTCTACTACCAGTTCAGAAAGAAGAAGCCTCGACCTGAGAAGAACTGGCGAATGAAACTCAGCGGGACTAATATTATTTCAAATCTTTTTTTATAAAGTTACATTATAAATTTCAATATTTCTATAAAATTGAAGTAGTTTGGAGCGATCACTTCATTCCCAAAGTGTTGTGCCATCTTCTATAATGGCGTCACCCGGGTTCGCCTCTAGAAAAACAAAAACAAATCTATCCCACAGGAACCGTACATTTTTCTGAGATAAAAAATAGCCTATGTGTTATTCCAGACCATAATCTATCTCTGTGCCAAATTTCATCCAGATTCATTCAGCCGTTCTGGCGTGAAAGAGTAACAAAAATTTATGTTTTTATTGCTTTATACATAAAAATTAAATTATATTATTTTTCGTATTCGGATTAAAGTCGCGACTCGCGAACAATCTAGTGTGTGATATAAAATAGTTTGAACTCACTCTAGTCTAATTATATTTACAATGTGTATGTATACATCGTTCCTTAGGCATGGAGAGCGCGGAGATCAACAAGTCGCTGCTGGCGCTGAAGGAGTGCATCCGCGCGCTCGGCATGAAGGGCAACAACCACCTGCCCTTCCGCGTGTCCAAGCTCACGCAGGTGCTGCGCGACTCCTTCATCGGCGACAAGTCCCGCACCTGCATGATCGCCATGATCTCGCCCGCCATGAGCTCCTGCGAGCACAGCCTCAACACGCTCAGATATGCCGACAGGTGACACACAAACACGTAGTTGGAGAGTTCTGTACCTCGAGAGGAAAAAAGGAACTCTTATAGGATCACTTCGTTGTCCGTCTGTCTATCTGTCAAGACCTTTTTTCTCAAAACCCCATGAAGGTCTTATTTAAAAAAAATCTGGGCTTATGCACATGAGTAAATAACTTTTTAGCCTCTAGTTCTCTACAGAGGTAAAGATCCTTATATGACCCAGATAACTATAATCTATCATTATACCAAATTCCATCAAAATCCCTCCTGTGGTTTTTCCGTGGTTCGGTCACAACAGGCAGGCAGACAGACAAAAATTCTAAGAACTATAGATACGGCCTTTGTATCGATAATAATGTATATACATTATTTATATATATGAAATAGTTCAATAAGATTTTTCAAAAAATATTAATGTACAGATTCGAATTTTATCTATACTAATATTATAAAAAGGTGAATTTTGTGAGTTTGTGACGTTGTAGAAGGTAATCTCTGGATCTACTGAACCGATTTAGATGAAATGTGGTAAAAAAATAATTTGTGAAGAGTAGCCTGAGAAGGACATCATCCCTTAAGGGGGTGAAAATGGGGATAAAAGTTTGTATGGGGAACAAGCTAGGGACGAACCGAGCGAAACGAGGACGATATATATATATGACTATATCATAATGTTTGTATATTTGCAGAGTGAAAGAGCTGGGCACGACGGAGGGGTCCCGCGGAGGGCGCCCGGAGTCGCCGCTGGCCGACGTGGAGATGGAGCCCGCGCACGACGACCTCGCGCATCTGCGCTCGCTTAATGTGAGCGGATATATATAATTGTGTTCTTTGGAATATTGTATTTGTGTGGGTGTAGCTGTTTATCTGTTTGTTTGTCTGTTTGTTACTTTATTTATGGCTATGCTTAGATTCAGAATATGTTTTGGAGTTTAAGATATATTTCAACTAAAGTAAGACTTCTCGTAAGATTTTGAATTTAAGCTATTATTGTATTATTATACTCGTATTATTACTTAGTAATCTAAGAAACAGATGTATTACCTAAGCTCACTGTGGTGTTTGGTAGCGGGATTGTAATATTGTTGTGTGTTAAGTATGTCCGAAATTGCCCCTGTTTTGTAATCAAAATTTGTGAGCGAACGGCGTGCGTAAATGCGTCTGCCGACCTTAAAGCCGTTTTCCATTCTTCAAAAGACAGTATGATAACCGCGATCATCACCCATAATGTCCCTTCCCTCAAATGTCCTGTTATATGCCTTCGTTAAATGGGAGAAAAAATTAAAGGAAAACTTGTTAAAAATAAAAAAAATAGGAATTAGGGAAAACGATTTTTTTATAGGATTTTTGTATAAACACAGATATTAAATTAAACATAATTCAATATGTACGTAATATATACTACAGGAGGGCGACATGTCGGCGGAGATGTACACGTTCCACGAGGCCATCGACGAGCTGCAGCGCGCCGAGGAGGAGGTGCTCGACAACCACAAGGCCATCTCCGACTACCTGCAGCACGCGCTGCAGCGCTGCGCCGCGCTGCTCGCCCTCACGCGCGACGTCGACTACGACCAGGACGGTGAGACGCACACATACACACACACGCACGTGCACACATTACATATATGGTACACGCATACAAAAATGGCAGTGGTAGCCTAGTGGTAGCGCACTCACTTGGAAAACCGAGTGAATCGGTCTCGCACTCCTGATATTTTCATGTGCGAATCATTTCTAACATGATTACCGCTTGTCTTAAGGGTGAAGTAAAATATCGTGAAAAATCTGCAAGTCTGAGAAGACCTAGACAAGTCTTCAAAAGACGAAGTCCTCCAACCCCCACTTGGTCAGCTTGGTGGACTGTGGCCTGATCTCCCTTGTATCGAAGGGAGGCCCGTGCTCAGCAGTGGGACGTTAAAAAAGAGCTGAATACATGCACTCAAACATACATATATACAATAGAATGCATATGTTGTATGCACATTTAAGATAATCTCGTATGCTATCTATCTTATCTAAAACTACAAACACACATACACTACATACAGACACAAAGACATACATATTATATATAATTGAATTAATGTGTGTACACACAGTTGTAGGTAAAGTTATATGTTACCAATCTTTTTCTTGGTGTAATGAGCTAGAAAATCACAAACATATACACACGCAGACATACATACTATTGAGTGCATGCGTTTGCTTGTAAATTGTGAATTAAACATACTTGTATGTAATTTTTTGTTTATTTTGGTACATACTCTGTCTTGTTTTTGAATTCTTCTAAATAGAATACAGTAATTGTGCACATGTTGGCTTCATTGTTCAAAGCAACTTATTACACTTTTATGTACAACAATATTTCAACTATGCAATGCGATAAATCTTTTTGCTTGATGTTTCTGAGTAATATTTGTATACGCCATATCTGTTAAGATATTTTTATTACACTAAAGTATTAATATGTGTTGTACATCGATCAAATAAGTACTAGATACACAATCGACGATAAAAAATGACGATATGATGTTGTTACCGAATGAGCGCTTATTTGAACATTTGAGCGCGTTGTTAATTTTTTTTGTGCAACCAACTTCGAGCCTTGCGTATAAGGTTCAATTTACATTGCATAATTATTTCAACTATAATAATTACCTAAACACAATTGGTGATAGTTTAAAGAGAACTTTTGCATGGGATTGTGTGTCTAGTACTTTTTTGATGGAAGGTATTGTATCACTATTGATACACGTTGTGTGTGGTCGCCTGAGCAGTGGTAGCAGAGCGCCGGCGCGCTAAGCGCCTGCGCGCCGTCGCGAGCTTTGGCCTTGGCACGCGACGGAATGGCCGCTTGTTAGGTTTGAACCAACAGTTAGAATAATACATGTAATAATATCATTATTCTATTGGATTTTTTTATGGAATATATACTATGCTGTATAGGTTGTATCTATATTGATATATGCACTGCCGGATTAAACCTTAGCGCCGCCCCAGGGCATAGTAACAAATGTCGCCCAATTATCAAAATGTTGCATAAAACGGGTAAAGTTTCGTTTAAATTTTATTAGTTTTAGTTATTTTTTTGTTAAATGCAAAAAAATAATTTATAAATGATTTCAATTTTCCTAAAAATGTGTACTAGTTAAGTTTTTTTTATTAAATTTCATTTTTTTAATAAAAACAGCATTTTCGATAACGCGAAGAGATTTTTTCCCACCCTCCGAATTTTGCCGCCCCTAAAAATTTTCAGCCCTGGGCACTAGCCCTGAGTGCCTCTAGTGTAAACTCTACACCGGATATAATGGTTGATGTGAATTCTTTTTTTTATCTTATATATTTTTTTTTTTTTTATATTGTTATTAATAGGTGTAAGATGTAATGTTACAACTTATTATATGAATTTCATTGTGAAAAGAGATAACTTTAATTTAAATTATTGATTTGAAAGTTTATATGACAATAATGAAAATATGTATATAAATATGAATACGTGTTTTCAAATAAAACCTATTTGCAAAAATCTGCTGACAATTTCGATCACATAGGAGTTTAAGAAATATATATGTATTTTTAGTCCTTTACATAGTACAGTGTAGTATTATTCCATAAATCAAAATTTTAAAATATTAATATACGGCGCATCGCTTCCGGTAATGCCAATGCTATCGCTCTTTATCACAGGCTTGTGTTGGGTAGATGTTATATTAACTGTAACGCTTATGTATTTAATGCTCTGGTTTTTTATTTATATCATAAAAAATATTTTTTTGATGAATTTTTGGAGTTTGGCTAATCTTATATAATATTCAGATATTTTGTTTATTTATTATTACGCTATGTGCTTTTTTACAATAAGCTTATAGAACACTAATATGACATTTTATATTAAAAAAAAAAACATCCAATTCAATCAATAATAAATTAAATACACTAAATTCACATCACTTGAAAACTAAAAATGGTACAATTTAAGTTAATATATAAATTTAAATCGATTCCAGCGTACGCGACCCAATGGGAGGAGTTGCTGAACGAGCAGTTGGCGGTACTGGCGCAGTCACGTGACCTCGTCGCCGAGTTCCGGGCGAAGATGCAGCAAGAGGAGCACATCTCCCGCCGCATACAGCCCTCGCGACACCACTAGCACGCATGCGTGCGTATATATGCAAGTGCGTATACACGTGCGTGCATATAGCGTATGCGCATGTGTATATGTGAGCGCATGTCGTCCCCGTGTAAACGCGTAGTGTCGATGTTTATGTTGTTTGTTTGCTTGTTTGTTTCTCATTTGTTTTATTGATTATTATAATATATTGATATCTCCAAATTGATTGTTGTGTCAGAAGTTCCTAATTGTATATAGACCACTTGTATGCAACACATGCAGTATGGAAATTTTTATTTGCCATCTGAACAGATTTGCTTTTTGTGTACAAAATGTACTTCATCGACACTACGTATGTATTTACACTGTCCAATGCAGATTTGTTTAGATTCCAGCCTATAATGATATTTTCAACGTGGACTCGCTTATGTTGAAATGTGCCAAATCACAAAATGTTGAAAATTGAGTTCGTTATTGCGAAGTGCTTTAAAAGTATATTTATTGAGACAACACAGGGCTTGTAAGCGATTGATCTCATTGTGTGGGTTGGCACGTTTTGCCATATGACCGGGTCCAAACAAAAATCCAATGCAGTATTGAAACTGTGAGATTGTAGCTGGCCTACCCGATTTGCTTAATATTAAAATGAAAGAAGAAATTCCTGTATGTAGCAAGCTTTGTATACTTCGGAACGAGTGCCGTCAAATAGACGTAATAATAGTGTTATAAGCACAAAGCCTGTTTACAACACGCCAGGCGCTACTATATCGTATATTTTCAAGAGAAATAATCGCATCCCCCTTTAAGAGATATTTTGGGAAGCGTTTTCTTAACAAGATGGATGGGTCTGCATGAAGAATATTGTTAATTAATAAACAAACCAATTTTATATGTAAATTATAGAAATAGATTTATTTGTAAAAGGGTTGGGATGCGATTTTTTTTCAGTAAACGATATCTCGAGCTATGAAAACCCTACGAGCTAATTATATAAAGACGAGATCTAATAGACTTAGCTTTGCAATAAAATCGATTCTAAATCGATTTTGAGTATCGGTAATTTTTCGTGTATGGACGACACATGTGGTGCGACGTTTAATTTATAGACTTTTTTAACATTCATATCCGATTTACATTGGTTTGCTAGTGATGGCCCGTTTTTGATCCAACCTTGGTTGTTATACAATTTTCTTCAGATTTAGTATGCATGTTGAATGTAGTATATTAAAATTAAATATTTAATTAAAGAATTTATATTACTGGTCTAATTTATGTACCAAGAGAAATGGAGAGAATAAATCGAGAATGGACCAAAATCGGTCCATCATTAACATGTAGTATATATCGGTCCAAATGACCCATAACTTATGCATTTAACTTTGCTAAAGGCCTATGTTTGTATATGATACGGGGGCCGCCGACGCCCCGTCTGTCCATGAATCTTTCACATGACACTTAAGATATTATGTTTTAGTGAATTGAATTTAATTGAAATTATTATCGTGATTTATAAGGAAACTATTTCAACTGTAAATTCTACTAAAATTAATAAACGTTATCATAGATTAGGTATTTGACATAAGTATGCACATTCTGTCAAATTTATATCTATAGTAGGACCAACAACTATAAGATGCTATTAATTTTGGTTGTAACTATGGCTCAGTTCAGTGTTGTTTGACCACATTATGTGGACATTAAAAAAAAAATATTAATTAGTCTGTATTTTGAAGTAAATATTTAGTTGAAATAGTTTCTGAGAATAAAAAAAAAATACTCGTGCAGTTGTGAGATAGATTCGATAGATTGGTGTGAATATAACAAGCCTAATTTAATTTCTTGTATTTTTCATTTCATCTTTATTTTTTTTTCTTATTGAGACGAGTGACTTCGTTTAAATAGTTTATTTTATTATACGTAAAATTCATTTCAGAACCATTTTGAACTTAAGCAAATAGACTGTCGTCATGTCATTATAAAAGGTGCAAGAGAACTAAAGATGCTGTAAAGATAATGAGAGAAAATTTGCCATTGTAAATTAAAAATTAAAATCTAAATTTTTAACTTAGTTTCAATTAAATATATCAAGTGATATATGTATTATATGCTTTAGTGCTGTCGGTCTCTAGCTGCTGTAGAAAGGAACCGGTGAAATAAATTTCTATACACAGATATTACCCTTCCAAATTGCGTTAATATCATCGTTTTAATCATTCATCTCATAAAAATCGTAAAATTATTATTTAAAAAATAGTAAAAACACTCTAAAAGACTAATATGATTGTAGGTTTTTTTTTCAAGTCAATACTTTATTTTGTTTTTGTAATACGACTTATTTATTATGTTGTGATAATAATTATAAACGTATTTGTACTTTGAACAGCGTTCAGTTCAGCGCCCTCAATAAAAATCGCTTGTATTAACATATCGTTTGATTTTTGGTTTTTATCTGTCCAATTTTTTACAGATTATATAATTATATTACTATCTATCTTTCTATCCTTTCGGCTTTTTTCGCGGATTTATTTTGATTTATGGTTTCCGATGTTTCGAATGCTTTACAGCGATCGTGATCCCGGGAGATATTAGATAGTTTCATTTAAAATGTCAAATATTCGCGTAAATCTAAGAAAGTATTAATTATATTATTTTCCTTCCACTGCATTCTCATCTATTTGTAAATTTTTCTTTGGACAGATAACAAAAGAATAAACTTAATCTTTTTTTGACTATGTATTGGTGCTAGGATATAAAAATCATTAAATAGTGCCTCGACGGTATCAAATAATTGTCATTTTGTTGGTTAAATACAATTTTTAATTCCACGGTGTTCCTAAATTAGGTCAAGGCGTGAAAACTTTTGTCCGAAAGTAGTGTTCCTGCATTCAAATATACGATCGTTACTTTGATATAAATATATATGTAAAAAATAAGGGTATTTATTTTCAATTTCGACCGTCGAGGCCTGACGGCTTCATTTTATTAGATAGTGCTTATTATTAATAAAAAATCGGTACTCTGTATCAGAGTGACTGTTCGCGCCGATGATGTCTTTAATATTTTAATTAAATCCTTTCATTCGGGACGCGTCTCGTGTGGAAGCACACTTATGTTTTCTTTGCCTTGAAATGAATTAGCTATATAGAAGTGAGGAGGGGGAGTAGGGAAGGAGTGCAGCGAGACGTGCTAGTTGAAATGCTTTATTATAATAAACCTATTTTAACATCGCACATTATAATAAATTAATCGAAATTGTATTGTGTTATTTCTTAATACCTATTTTCCTCTAGTTTTAAATTGTTTGTAAATTATTACTGAGTTTGAAAAGGTTTAAGACTTGAAGTTTTACAAAAAGACTTGGTTTTAGAAGTTGACTGATGACGTATTATTATTATTTTACTTTATCTGATTAGTGTTTGCTTATTAGTTAAATTTTTATTAATATATTGGGAAAATGTTTTTTTTTTAATAAGGAAAATTATACATTTTATGCAACATTTTATAGTTTGGTAAAATAAAACGAGAGTAATGTCACAAAGTTTTTTATTTAGTGTAAAGTTACAGCAGATTTTGTACTAGTATCTTGGAAAGTTGTGGGATTGGAGTTGATTGTTAAATTGTCCATGGAAGACACACATTGCTCACACAGTGACAGTGCATCACACTGTGTTTATATGAACGTTAAGTTTCATATATTTCACCAAGCAAATTTCACTACAGACGAATTTATATTATAAAAATAGTTTTTTACACATTTATTAAACAATTAACATATAAAATGATGTACTAATGTTGGTATAAAAACAATATTTTTGGCCAATTTCTAAAACATAAAACTTATTATTATTTAATATTTATATAACAATAATCATACTATAATTTTTTACTTGCTATAAATGTATTTTTTTTTAATTATTTTTAAAATATAAATTCGACATAAATGCAAGATCACACCTGTGGCATTATAATACTTAAGTCAACATTCAATAGCCTAGATTAAATAAATAATTTAGCTGAATATCACAGAACATTCCTAGAAAAAAAATAAGATAGTTTATTATCTACATATTATGACATATAAAAGGAGGAGGTACTCAGGTAGGTATGTTTTGTACGTTTTTTGTGTACCTATATGTAAAAAAAATCTAAAATTCCACTTAAAAGATGAGTAAATGTAATTTATAGTTTGTAGTTGAGTATGGTAACAATTTTTAAATCAGTGTTAAAATAAATTACAAAACTATATACCTACATATGTATTAAGTTTTAGCACATCGAAATATAGGGCGTAAACATGCCCTAAGAGGACACTAGCAAAGCTGCGATACCTCAAGGTCGTATTATTTTCTATTTTATTGATTGAATTTCAAGCTGATATAAAAATATACGTCATGTTCACCCTTATCTCAATGATTTGAGTATATTTCTGAAATGTACAGTTATAATAAATTGAAAAGAATCTAGTAACTAGGTACGGTAAAACATATGTGTAATGAAGATTTTAATAATAGTATATTGACATCTAAAATTGCTTTTAGGAATTCAGATTTTCATTCTTATTTCTATGATATAAATAAGAGAACTCAGTTGATAAAATCTAACATTTGAAAGGAACTTGTAAACATCTACACCTAAGGTTTATGTTCATTTTGTTTCAAACATTATTTTAGTATTAAGTATTTCATGAATGTCTTTCCACTAACCGACAGTACGGGGGCGGCGATATTCGACAAAAATATATAAAATTATCAATAGTAGACAAAAAAATTTATTACAATTATATATTTTATCCGTTTTTAGTGCCCGTTTTGACTTGTTAGTGTACGACGTCTGTAAAAATAAACTCGAAACTAATTACTTTATATTAAGTCCATGATAGATAATTTTGCTTGGCAAATTTAACCTTAAAAATCTACCAAAATTTATTTATATATTTAATAATAATACTACGTACATGGCGAATATTTATGAATTTTTAAAAACAAAAAAATATAAATAGGCAAGGGACACTTTAACAGAAGAGTATGAAATTTAAAAAAAATATATTTGTGAGCTCTTATTTATATTTTTAGAATTGCACCTTTTCATATTATAATATCTTCTTCGAATCCCTCTCCAGTCAGTATATGTGGGTCGCCTATAGCCGGCACGCTTGGGCTGTACTCGCTGGTAGCCCACAGGTACAGGTTTAATGTTCTCTCCGTGCACTGTGCTATGAATCTGGAAAGAAATAAAAAAAACATGTACTAATAAATAAAAATGGGAACAGTTTATTCTTTTCTATTGTTAAATGATTTCGTTAAAACATGTCAGCTAATATAACGGAAAAAAATAAAGTTATCAATTTTATTAAAAAATATATTAGTGTTACTTAAGTGAGTTAAGATAGACTCAAAACTTTTTTAATATGCTTAAAATAAAACAATTTACCGATTTAAAAAATAAAAGTAATTAACTGAAGGTAGTTGTTGATAATATGTATTTTTTGGACTTACAACTACGAGAAAAAAATTGTATTAACTAATGCTGAAAATGGCTAAACCAATTTCAATGGGAATTTCACTGATGGATAAACAATTTGTGTGTGAGCAAAATAGACTGCGTAGTGCAAGCCCAAACTAGCGTCAAGCTTCTTAAAAATTTTTATTACCTCACAAAAGGTCTTACATCCCCTTCATTGGCAGTTTGTAAGTGTTGATAATAAAGATGCCTGTGTTGTTTGGCAATGATGACTGGAGGATAGCCAGCTTGCATCAGGAGCAAATTCATTAGTAGTCTTGACGTCCTACCATTGCCGTCTATGAAGGGATGGATGTAGACTAGCTTGTAATGAGCCAGGGCTGCGTATCTGTAACATGTATTATTAAAAATTAATAATGTCAAAATTTGCAGTACTTTGGCACTTTACACATTTAATAAAATATTTTACAACTTTGTTAATATATAAAGTGATTATTGAAAGTTCTTTCATTAGATATTGGTTTGTTTACATAACATAAGTATTATAATATGTACACTTGCAATTTAATAACCCATAAAATAATTTTAATTAAATCATTTTATGGATAGAATTATTTTTTTAATTACATGGTAATTAAAACAATCAATATCAACAGTTTAAGACATGGTGCAGTATGTCAGTACTATGCAAAAAAATAATTTACCTTACAGGGTGCAACTCTAATGCATCTTCAGAATTCAACCATTCCAAAAACTGTGTCATTAGTTTTTGTATTTCAGACGGTCCCGGTGGTATGTGACCACCCACATATACCTGAGTTCTTCTAAACTGACCTCCTTCTACTGGGTCTACATGTCCTAAAACTCTTTTATGAATCTCTAAAATATCTCCCATATTAATATCTCTCAATCTATACAATAATGTTGAGTTGATATATTTCATTGCTGCATCTAAGCCTAGAATTTCATTATGTTCTGCTATACTTTTCCCAGCAACAGCAATTCTTGTTTCTAAAATACTACGAGTCTGTTGTAGTGTCATTGTGTTCCCTTCAATGGCAACTGTGTGATAAATATGCTGAAAGTAAGCTTCTTTCTTAGCCCTACATAAAGCTGCATTATTTTCTGGTATAGAGAGCAATGTGTCCCGTTTTTCGTCTATTTTTCGAAGCATTTCTCTATCTAAGTTTTCAACTATACTTGCTGTCCTTTGTCTATTCATTAGAGCACCAGTGTGATGTGGATAGTTTGTAAGAGCTAAGGTATATAGCTGGTCAGCTTTTACTACATCTTTTTTAGTTTCTTCTAAAAACTCCCCATAATGGTTTAAAATATCTGCATGTTTTGGAGAAAGAGCGAATGCATGTTGGAACAGCTTCAAAGCTTTATCTGCCTTACCATTCTTTTTCATTTCTAATGCCGCGGTCAAGGACACCACTGCTTCCGCATCTCGTCCCTTATCTGGTTTCCTTTCAGGGGGCGGAGAATTTTCAACGAAGGCTTCGAGGTAATTTCCATACAAACCAGCTGGTATCGGTGAGAATGGTTTCGATAATCTAACATCATGATTTAGTAACTTGTGTAATGATATTATAACAGCAAATGTACAAATCGCACTGGACAAAATTAACACGGTTTTACATTTATCAATAATCATTTTTACATGGAAATTCCTAGGTTCGCCCTTCATTGTTTCTCTATTTGTTTGTCTATCTAAGATCAACATGTTTTCTGTTACTGAAACTTAAGCTTACTGATAAAATCTCGGGCTTAATCGGCGTAAATAATTTAGATTTCATTGTGTAATGCAACAAAATTTCTAAAATCAAATAACAAAAAAACACGGGCCATTGCTTGACAGCTGGCTGATTGTCGATTGACTTCATTTCAATTTGACATTCGTGACAGTGACATTTAACAGATCTACGAGTATTTTGACGTTAGGTCGCTCGAGAGGTTTATAATTTGTCTATGTATAAAATTCTATAAAGGACAAGCTACTTAGCTATACAATATTTATAAGCAGTAAGCACTATAATATAAAAAAATTTTGATGTTCAATTTTGAAAGTTGGTTTTTCTAAGTAATGTAATTATCAATATTATTAAATTAAAAAAAATAAGTATATTAGGGATTAGCAGATAGTCAATCAAGCTGTTTATCGTCGTCCACTGCTAAACGAAGGGTCAAGGCATCATCCATCCGTCCGCATCCATCGGCATCTGCAGGGCACTCAATACGCTTGATAAAACACGGTCTCCACTCTAACACGTGTCGGTCAACATCAATATGTCTGGGCACATGACCGGTCTATTTAAACTTCAGCGTGCTAATTCTAGTTGCGATGTCGGTCACTTTAATTGTCTGGCGAAAGACTTGGATTCGAATTGACTCTCAAAGAATATTACATACCTAACTAACTAACCTTCGGTTTGCTCAGGTGTGTTTTTTAGCCGTAGGTTTTATTGCTTAATTTTAAACCTTAAATTAATGTTATTATGACTTCTGACCGTAACCACATTATTATCGGATTAAAGACATAGCCTATAACACTCGGTGGTAATGTAGCTCCCTATTATTGAAAGTATTTTAGAATTTGATCGCTAGTTTTAGACATTACCTTCGTCACAAAAGAAAGAGTGAACTCTATAAATATATTTTTCACTTTTATATACTTGGCCATTTTTTCAATAGTAAAATTTTGCAATGTTTTATTTACAATTTTCAAAATAAAAATCTCTTATGATGACTCATAAATTCATTACCTGTTCCTCAACACATATTTTGAAATCTGACATAAATTTTAATAAGTGAAAGATAACGCTTCATTGCATTTGTAAGGGACTCGTTTTGGCCATACCACTTATTTCGTAAGATATTTGTCAGGATTGGGTTACTGGGAAATCGAGTAATAAGTTATGAAGTAGGTAACTGACAGGTAAAACCACCTGCGAAATAAACGACACGGCTCACTTTTATTCGTATATTTCATGTTTTAATACTTTCATTCTCCCGAATAAATAACAAAACCTTACTTTAACATTCAGATCATCAATATATTATAGATTAAACACATCGCTACGCACGTTACACTAGAGCTAAAATAATAAAACTAATGTAAATGAATATGCGAACTCAGCCTTAACGGCGTAAGCTGCTTGATCGCGTCACGTGCGATCTTAAGGGCTGGTTCCATGTAGAAGACAATTAATACTGCGGTTTAACGATCACACCCCGTTTATGGCTGACTAGATCTTTGCAATAAAGCATCTAACAACTCAAGACAATTACAGTGAATAAAAAGTGTAGCTGACCTCGTAAATGCTGCTTTCAGCGTTTAACGATTATTATTATTGCCTGTCTTTGAATACACAACTCTTATTTCTACAATATAATAAACTAGCGGACCCGACAGACGTTGTCCTGTCTACACGTCTTTAATTTGAAAATTTCAAACTTTCTTTAATAATTTTTTTGATGAAAATTATTATTCAAATTGTGAATCTAAACCATTCCCAGATCCCCTTGAACACACACAAAAAATTTCATCAAAATCGGTCCAGTCGTTTGAGAGAAGTTCAGTGACATACACACTCACAGAAGAATTATATATATAAAGATGTTATATGGCAGTAGATGAGAAAGCAGTCAATTCGAGATCTAATCAAGCAGCTTCGGTTGCGGCTGACAGCGAGATAGATTACACGGCAAGAATACAATCGACAATTTTCTTAAACCATTGGCTACATTATAGAAACAAATGATACAATTTATTATTCACTCTCTTATACATATAAGTTATATATTAAAATCAATGTATAGACGTGAATTAGACTTAGTAAATAGCGCTTTCAAAACTTTTTTTGTTATTTTACAGTTATATGCTTTATTTAATTAACTTAATTAAAATTTTACTTATTACAATCTAACACACGTCTAATAATACATAGTAATTTACTTAATATAATAATTTATATATTTTCAAACATTCCACAATACTTAAACTTAACTTAAACACATGTTTCTCATTTTTTGCGACCAGCGCCTTTAACACCAACTCGATTAGCTACAATCTAAAAAAAAACTTCTATAATATATAGGTACCACAGCCTGATATCGAACTAGTAATGACGGTCGCATTACTGAAATGCACCTTAATCGTTTTAACGACGCAGTTGTATTAAATCAAATTCCTTGCAATTAAAGTTATTGCAATAAGGTATTTAAAAATGTTGTAACCGTATAATCAAACTTTGATATTTATCACAAAAATGATAACCAAATATACGTTTTTTTTTGCAAATATAATTTGATTTATGAGTTTTATTACAACTATTAATATAGTGAAAACTGAAAATGTCTTTATTAATATTGCGTTCTTCATGTTTTAATTTCGATATCTAGTCACATAAAAAAGGCTATGGTAATACGATATTACAATGTCATTATAGGTTTGGTTATTCATTCCATAATTTCATATACTCGTAGTATATTTTCGAGTGTTATAATTAACTTTTGAATATTTTTTGAAAAGAAAACTTCACAAAAACAATGTAAATTTATTCTAGTTTTCTTCATGTTATTGATTAAAACAATCAAACAACGATTATTATTACAAGTTTGGTTGCTAACATAAACAACCGAAACTAAAATCATATCCAAATAGTATATTATACTAGTTTAATTCGAGACCTTGAGTTGACGCTAGCCATGCTGTTTGATCAATGGCACATAGAATCTACCACAATCATGGTGGAGTAGAAGGAGCATCCTAATGTGATCATGGTGCCCATAGCAATAAATGAGTGGTAGGCTCGGAAAGTCTTCAGCACGCGAAGATAGCGCGGACAATGGGCTAACTCGCCGAGGACTAATCGGCCGACCTGAAAAGATAAACACGATTTTTAATTAACGTATACAAATTACAATATACATACATATATTTAATTTCAAAAATTAGTTTATTTCAGTTGAAAATATCGCGTAAGATTAACATACAATAAAGTATAATTCAATAGATATTTTCTTTTTTGATCTCAAGGGAAATCTGTTTGAATAGAATTCAATGAAATATGAATAGGAGAAATGATTGCATCATAAACACGAACATAGGGTGTAATGATGTTATTAAATGAGACAACCTTTATGTTCCAAGACCCAAGCCCTGTTTATTACTGATGTAAATATTACATTAGTGGATTTTACTGCCTCGGTGGTGTAGTGGCTAGCATGTACGGCTGCACACCCGGAGGTCCTGGGTTCGAGTCCCGGGTCGGGCCAAGTTTAGTTATTGAGTCTTCCTGTATAGTAAGTCTCAGTAACAGCCCGGAGTTGGGAAGTTGGCCGTGTGTCACCCCCGTGCCTCGGAGAGCACGTAAAGCCGTCGGTCCTGCGCCTTAACTCTCACCGGTCGTGTCGAGTAGTCGTCCCACCGGAGTATAAGAGTGATAGGAATAGAGTGCACTTGTGTCTGCGCGTACACTTGTGCACTATAATATCTCCTGCGCAGTTGGCTAATCTCATTGAGATTGGCCGCCGTGGCCGGAATCGGCTAGAACATCACATTAGAGGATACCGTGAGCCCTACTACAAGGTACTTTTTATCTCCACCCCGCTTATCATGCGAGCAGAGTCACAGGCAAAGAGTAGTATTTATATATAACAGATTATATTATATACGTATAAAGTTATTGTTCTAAAGTTATTGTTCTAAAGATATTGAAGATATTTCTATATATATAAATTGACATTATAATATTTAGAATGCCACATCTTTTGAAATTTAACACGAGACATGTGTTTTACATTTCAAAGATGATTGACAGGTAAGACACTGTTACTTCGTAAAATGGATGCATGGATGGATTTATATGGCTAATTTTAAATTATTTTGGTTTCTGTCATACAGTAGCAATGTGCCTTTTAGATAAAAAAGGTTGTACTTCGATTTTTGCTCCAGATAAAGACATGTTCGTCATACATATATGTATATTATTCTATATTTATAGTGTGGTTACACTAAATTATGGTGCTTAAATTTCACTTTAAGATATTAAGAAGAAAATAAAAACTAGCACCTAACTCTAATTACTATAACTTATTAGATAGTTTTATTTAAAATGTCAAATATTCGCGTAAATCTAAGAAAGTATTATATAACTTATTCCTTTTTCTTTTCTATGTATGTATTTCTATGTATTTTTTATTCTATGATGGTATAAGCGATAGTTAATTTTAAAAATCAATGATACCATGACATGTTATAACTAATGATAGAATAAAATGTTCGCAATTAGACCGTGTATGGAGGTTTTAATTAGAAAATGTGTTCATACACCGACATTACCAAATAAAGACGACAGAACTCATTATCCTACTATAACACTTTCAGGTTTATATGTCGTCTGTGGCATTAAGAATATTTCTATTTTTTTAATTTAAATTTTACACTATAATTTAATATATAAATATCTCGTATCTCGTGTTTCGGTGTGTGTGGTCGCACTCCTCGAAACACCTCGACCGATTTTCATATATATTTTTTTGTATATTTGGTAGGTATGAGAATAGGTCATAAAGTATTTTTAACCCTTCTACTTCCACCCCCCATTTTTAATCGCGATTTTAGTATTTTTGTATGAACAATATTATAAAATTACATAACTTAAAGCCAAAACTGTATAACATAAAGCCAAAGAGGCTTTTTGTAGATTGAACGCGGGCGTAGCCGCGGGATCTGCTACTATGTTATTTTATTTAATATATCTACAAGTAGGTTATTATTTCAGGCTTTTTCATTGAACCAAATTAATTGTATTAATTAATAAATTTGATTTAAAATTAAGCTATTTCATGTAACTCACTGTAAAAATAAAAGAATCTAAAAAGATTAAAACTGTAATACGAATGAAATGTACCGTTAAGCATGGGTTGTGTTTTTTGTGCAACTCGTTGATGTACATAGTGGTATAGCAATCAAATTATCTTTTTATTCGTGACTTAGCAATTATTATTTGCAAAATTCTAAACATTCCGTGTAACGATCGTCTATTTATTTATATTGCCTATATTATCTATATTTGACCGATTTAAAAAATAAGACGATACATTTTACTCTATATTTTGTTCAATTAGTATTTTTACACGTTTCCAAGTTCCAAAAAGCGATCCCATATAAATTTCAAGGAACTCTATCCTATACTCTATACTATAACTCTATCCTCAAGAGCGGGATTTTAAAGTAATCGGTGAAATTAAATAGAGAAACTAATACATATATAGTTTTATAAAAACATTAAATGCTGGTTATATAATTTCACATAATAATATTCATTCAACTCATTTAAAGTTTTCATTTGACAGATAATCAATCTTGATAAAATGTCATCGTACCATTAAGACACATGATATCCTTTGTACGGTGCACAAAGAAAAAATTGCAGTTTTCTACGTAAGAGACCGATTTAAAAAAAAAGAAAAGACTATTATATTGGGTGTTGTTTTTTTTATGTGCCAATCAATATCTATAAAAATGCAAACTGATTTTTCTTTTAAATCTATGTACATAATATTATGTGTAATTGCTAAAAACTTGAAATTTAGCACATATATTCTTCATAGGAAGTACGTAGGTAGAAATTTACCTCTTAAAGGGTTAAAAATGGGTTGGTTTGCATGAAAGTCAAGTATTTAGAACTTATAAAATAAGCGGACAGAGCGCCGGACAAATGATACTTATGTTTCATTTCTATCCATTTACTACAATACATCCTAAATAGCAAAAAAATATAGCAAAAAAAAAAAACTTACTTCCTGTCCACCACCAGCGGCTTCCTCCATTTGAGTTTTGATGTGTTTTGCGCGCAGCATCGGTCTCACGAGCCAGAGGCGCACGTACGCTTCTATGCTGAATACGACTAACAGCAAGGCTAGCTGTAACAAGGGAAAATGATATTCAGACTGTTATAAATACGAAAGTTTGTAAAGGTACGTATAGTATTATTTTCTCACGCTAAATGTTAGAATGTATGCAGATAAATAAAATAAATAAAAAATAAAAAAGTATTTATTAGATAGACTTTGACTTATTGTAAACCATAGGTTACAACTGTAAGGTACCTAGGTAGTCTAAAATACCTAAGCACTCGTCTATATGTACCTTTTAGTAACGAGGGCAGTCGCTAGTATTAGATAAAATCCTTCACATCCTAGATATCCTAGAAATTTGCCTATATATTAATAAGTGTTCTTAGTAAATAATATTGTACAGTGAAAAATGAAATAGCCAACTTCCGTGTAATCTGTGATGTAATAAAAAAGTTATTATAACTCGAAAGATAAGATTTCTAAGTTTATTAAAACCATTGTAATATAATAGATATATACACGTGGATGTTTAGTTTGGATATGAATTGTTCACGGATTACGCTTTACGATTTTTATTTATCACGCTTATTACTCTCGATTTATGTTGTCAAATTATTATGTTGCGCAGCCATGGACGTTATCAAAATGCCTTGCTTATTAGGATATAGTTTTTTACTTATATATAAGGCAAAGATGTTCAAGGATTCATCCGCTGCCATTTTCTTTCAATAAAATTTAAATAAATACCATTTAAGTAATTATACATATTATATTTACATAATTAGTTCAGTTTTAATGATTGCCATCGATTTTTTATGGCAATCTTTACCTTCAAATATCTCGAAACGTGATACTTTATGCATTATAATGCTAATATTATTTATTTATACCATATTCATTATACGCCATGAGTTTAAAATTGGCGGAAGGTTGGCAATACCACTAAAGTTCTTCCCGCTTTCATTGATTACCTATCTATAAAAAATAATTGAAATAAAATATATAACGTCAAAAGAAAAGATATCTCAAATTTTTATTTTCACAATAATCCTATATTTCAATATTTCAATATCGTTCTTTGCACTAGACGAACTGAAGTTATTTTTATATTTATCTGTGATAGCGTCAATCAGAGATAAACTGCTGTTTAAGTTTTATTCAAATTTTAATTTCAATATGGAAATAGATATTATAATATTTATCTATACATTTAGTTCAAGACTGACTTCTTAATTGGCAATTGTTAATATTAAATAGCTGAAGCTCTAGCAAAGTGGCGCCGTGATTAATAGGTAGGTCGTAGGTAGCCTTTTAACTCGAAGGTCACCGGTTCTATTTCCGTGCATATTTCGGAATCATTTTAACAAACATTAAAACATGAGCTAATCAATAATTTGTTATATTTATCTATAAATTGATTAAGTATACAAATTTATTGCGAAAGAAATGTCAATGGTAGAGTGCATTATAGACGATTTATTTAAAAGGAAAAAATCTACATAAAAATTGTACTAAATTGATGTCTTTCTAGATAAATTATATTAAAATAATAACTAATTAGATTTTTAATATTTGTGGAATAAAATATACCGTATATGTAGCTCTACGAACCCCTCTATCTTTCGTTCCGTTCGAAAGATTACCCCGGAAAGACAGAAGACAGACAGACAGACAATAAAATTTAAAAGGGTTGATTAGGTACTGGCTTCATATAAATAACTATATATTCGAGAAAACATAGTTATTTTGAGATCACAGACAGACAACTCAATTTTATTTACGTATATGTATAGATTTACTATATTTTTGCTTAAATTAAGGCTTATAAGTTGGAGGCGCCCTCTAATTTTATTCTAATCATATATTTCGATAATGACAGCTATGTTATTGTAAATTAATTTGATTAATGATGAACTTGATATTATCGTACATCTATTGCATTACAAAATTGCAAAGTTACATTACTTTTAAACCTTGGCACTAATTTATAATATGTACTTACTTTTAATTTGCCTTTTTTGTTGAGCTCATAATACTTATGCGTTATTAAATAATAATTTATGATTACTACAATAGTTTCTATATATAGAAAAAAAAACAAAATGATATTAAAATGTCATACGTTTTTCAATTGTTAATTTTTTTTAAATGAACCAGCTTCAAGTATATATAATAAATCCGAAGTCCAAGAATAATACACACGTTTGACAAGGACAGTGTTTTTAAATATATATTACACAATTTTTTTCAACAAATTTCTTTTATAGAAATTAAAATTAATCATACATAAACTATTTTATGTTCGTAAAGTATGTGGTAGATAATAATATGTAATAACCAATTAACAAGTGGAATATTAAATGCCATGTTTTGTGTGTCTGTCACTTGTGCATGCTGCCATATAATATAATTTATAATTCGAGCCTTTAATCCTGTATATTAAGGTCAACGGAGTTAAGTGAAAAGTCAAATGGACAAGGTAATGTAAATAAAATTGCACAGGCGCCATATAAATAAATAATTCAAGGAATGGCAGGGTTGCTACATTAAAATAAATGAGAATGGATGATTTTTTATGTAGAGCTTTTTAGAAAAAAATAATAATACTATTCGACATCGTATGTCTATGTATTAAAATAAGTGTATTTGAAGATTTCTGTACCTTTTACGGAATATATGTAAAAATAGCGTTTTTTTAGAAAGAATATTACGTAACTTAAAAAGCAAAACCTTATCTAAATACAAAATTTGATCCAAATCGTTAGAGCGGTTTCTCAGATACATATAAGAAATAAATGTACCTATGTATATATACAAGAATTGCTCGTTTAATACAAGATTTAGTAGTAATATACTAACTATTATAATTGGAAAAGTTTGGATGTGTGTGTGTTTTTTTTTATTTGGATAAAACTTAATACAGATAAACAAACATAGACTTGATATGACATGGATTTACGAAAAATCCTGAAAAGTGGCGCTGCCTATATAATACTACAAGAGGCATTTAGGGACACCACCGAGCAAAACAAGGGTAAGTTGCTAGTTTGTTATAGTTTAAATAAAAAAAATTAAATGAATGATGTGCAAAATTTACACTGAAAGCCCTAAGACTGACCGCTAAGTTAAAGGCAGGTGTTAAAGTTTATTTCTACATTTCTCTGTTAGCCTTGTTGTATTTTTGTTTGAAGTCGTAAGAAAAAATGCACGAGTAAGTACTTGCATTATTTGTAATTTCTATAAATAACCCATTTTTGCATAAAGATTTTTTTATTTACCAATATAATATCGTTACTTGTAGTTAAATTAGGGTTTTTACTTAACATAAAATAAATATAATTCATTTTGAGTTGTGCTTTATAATTTATATAGATCATAGACTCAACATGAAATTAAATTTTTTTGCAAGTTTTATCTGTCGAAAATTAAAAGAGATCTAGGCAATGGTAATACAAACACAATATGTACTACAATTGAAACTTCTTTCTTTCTTTGTGGGCTTGAGAGTAACATAATAACCTGGTCATTGTTATTATTGTATTGTTGATGGAATATTTTTATATAGGTAAGGGTTACTAAATGGGCGTAGTACTAAGTAAACGAAGCATAAGGTCAGTCGACAGTATATTATGTATATCTTCGAAGTCATAAGACATAATAATCTATGTATATTGTATAAGCTACCATTTCCGTATGTTGACAGTTCAAGATATGTACTACATATTTATTTATACTTACTTGTATCCAGGAAGTGTTCTCGAAGCGCGTGAGACACTGTGTGCGGAAGTACGCGAGCGCCGCCAGCAGGCTCACTAGCGAGTTGAAGGCGTAGTACACGGGGAAGAGGATAGTTTGAACGCGCCCGAACTCATGCCGAGGGAGTGAGAAGTAGAGTACTATGCCTGAAAATAAGAAGAAATGTAAATATTGGATGAAATTGAAAAATAAAAAAACACCTAACGAGAAGGCTAAAGCGAGAGCTACGCTTCGCTCTCGCCATAGCCTTCTCAACCTACGCTATCGCCTTCTCGTGTCTGTCACAAAATGGAAAATAAAACTTATAAATAAATAAACTTTTATCTAGATGCTCTAAAAAAAAAAACAAAAAAAAAACAAAACAAAGTAGCTGGATCAATATTTTAGTTGTACAGTAACTGGATTAATAGTCGCTTTCGAAATTATAGGCATTTACCGCATTTTTTTTACATAATCCCAGTCAAAAGTAATACGAAGGTGTTTACAAAAATAACCAATTAACTTGATTATGTTTATTTTGGCCTTTTAGGTTCCAAATGTAAATAATAATATTTTGTAGATGAACGTCTTTTTCCAACCTATTTATTATTCCGGCTTCGCGTAAATATCTTGTGACGTGATGTGCTTATTATTTATGTGAAACACATTTATTTATTTCCCGTTTATATAAACAAAAATATTTTTATAGCAATTATCGATGATATATGGCCAGTACTAGAAAAGTATGGGTAAAAAGCACATGATTTATGGTGTAGGAAATTTTTCTGTCAATATTAGATCCCATAAAATATATTAAATAGTTTAATTTTTGGTTTTACAAGAAAACGATAGGTTTAGTGCACTATAGCGTAGAATGCAAGAGGAAGAAAACCCATTATATCAGGAAAGACGAAAATGAAGTGTGAGGAACACACAAAAAATATTATACCATTTGCGTACTTTATATATAAAATAAAAATAAATCTATCCCACGGAAACCGTAAATTTTTCCTTCATAAAAAGTAGCCTATGTGCTATTCCAGACTATAATCTATCTCTGTGCCAAATTTCATCCAGATCCATTCAGCTGTGTGCGTTCATTCAGACGTGATTGAGTAACAAACATCCATCCAAACTTTCACATATATACGTATAATAATATAATAACGGGATAGGTACTTAGTGGGATTTATTGATCTCGTGAGTAATCTTTTTAAAAACTTCTATATCGGTATATTTTGAGATTTAAAGATAATAAAAGTTTTTCTTTAAATTCTACAAAAAACAAAACGATTGCCACCTGACCTCCTCGCAGTCAAGGGCACTTAGGTGAAGAGATCAGCTATGTGGGTACTTACACTATGATAATTTGAATGCTACTTATACTTTTTGACCAACTTCGAAAAAAAAGTGATACTCAAGTTTGTTGGTATTTAAGTACCTACACTGCATTTCGTGTGTTTATAATAGATTTCCCTAATATTTTATTGAATAGGTTATATCTCAATCTATACATAATATAATAAAATTCTAACTGAGCCGAACCTGTACATTAAATACTTTTTGGAAAATCTTATTGAAATAGTCATTATTATCGATACAGAGGCCAAATCTTTAGTTTTTTAAAATTGTTGTCTGTCTGTCTGTGTATGACTGTATCACAAGAAACTCACTGGACAGATTTTGATGAAATTTGGTATGATGATAGCTGGTTATTCGGGTCAAAATACAGGACACTTATACAGCGGGAAAATATTTCATCTCTGAGAAATCTATACTAAACGTCAAACATAACTAGGGACGAATCCGAGCGGAGCGAGGGTGAGTCGCTAGTAATAATAAATTAAAAATAATTACAATCAAATCGCACAGTTTTGAATATAACAATATACTTTTTATTATAATTCAAGTGATAGGTCGATGACTAAAAGGTCATATCAATAGAACTCGGAAGCGTTGGATCATAAATTGTGCGACACGCTGGAGCGAATTACGTTTGGGGATTAACATATGAAGTTCCTTGTACCTGCAGTTTTATTACAGTCGCTATTGCTTTCGAGTTTTTGCGTGAAAATCTTTATTGATGTATAACTTGGATCAATCTGATTTTAAATTCTTGTTAAATTTTAGTTCATTTTTCTTTTTTTTGTTGTTGTTGTATGTCTCAAAATACTTATTTCAAGATAAGTTTTCTATTACAGAATATATATATGTAATTCTTTATAAATGTTATTTTGATTAGTTTTTGAATGTATGTATATATTTTTTCTGTAATCTTACTGGTGGAGGGCGTTAATAATTGCGACACAGTTTCTTAACTTCTGCCATTATTATCGTTTATATCTGTTTTTGCCATATATGTACTGAAATTTTAATAAATTTCAATAAATTAGTCATAGCTTAATATCAATAACCTAAGCAGCTCATGCATAATCTAAATTGTATGATAAAAAGCAGAAAAGAAGAAGAAAAAGGTGGCCAAAACCGCAGACAGATGGTAGTTTTACGTAATTTGTCAAAGTACATCATTTAACAGTATATTATTACTTGAAAAATGATGGCATACAACTTTTAAGTACATAACCCCATAAAAGATCTGAATTCGTGTTATTGCTGCAATAAACAACCATTACTACGCTCATTATCCGAATACTTTATTTTATAAAATATTTTCGTATTACATACTCTCATAAATATGTCCAAACTTATTTCTGTCCTTCTTGAAATTGTTGATCGTCGAGATATAAAATTAGTTGAAACTTAAAATTTCAGCATTGATATTTTATGTTTATTATTAAGATTTTGGATTATTTCAATATTGGTCGACAAATTTTAATTGAAAAATATCTTGAATATTTATTTACCTTCACATATAAAAATTTTACAATCCATACGCATGTAATGTGACTAAAGTTTTACTTAATCCCTCAACGACCGCGGACACGCCGGCGTGTCAGTTAACAATAAATTTCTTAGAAATTTACCTGGAGCCTGAAGGTGTTAATACCTACTCTGCTATGAGGCTTTTTGATATAACACAGATAGTTACTTCTAAAATATCGACAATAAAGACAAATAAATCAAATTTGGTTTAATACTTTCTTAAAATACTTTCTTAGATTTACGCGAATATTTGACATTTTAAATAAAACTATCTTTTCGGTAATTTGGTTCATTATTTATACACAAAATATGATGCTAACAATAAAAAAGAGCTCTCAATATTCGTGCAAATAATTGCAAATCATAACAAGCTCGTTATAACTTTGAAAAGCTCGCCAAAACATCCTATAATAGTACTTTATGTATCAGTCTTTATTACAAAGGCATAAGGCCTTTATTATTGTTAAATATGTTTAAACTTTTTAAAACCATTTAATTTTTTCTTTGAAACATTTAAATTAAACGAGATCTCAATTCAAAACAATTATTTACATGTACAAGTAATATGAGATGATTTGATCATTATCAAGGGAAGTCCATGCAATTTTCATAATTGAAATGTAATTCTTCTTTAGAGTTTACATCGTTAGCCTATTATTCGCCAACTGCCTCGGTGGTATAGTAGCTAGCATGTACGGCTGCAGATCCGAAGGTCGTGGGTTCGAGTCCCGGGCCAGACCAAGTTTAGTTATTGAGTCTTTCTGTTAAGAAAATCTCATTAACAACCCAGATTTGTGAAGTTGGCGGTGTTACTCTATAGCTCTCACCGGTCGTGTCAAAGTATCGTCCCATCGGACTTTGAGAGTGACAGGGATAGAGAGTTAAAAAAAGTATCTACTACTCTATGGTACGCTTTATGTAGAAATTTAAGTTGAAATGAACGAAAATTGTTATAATAATTGTTAATTATTTTTAATTAACATATTTAAATAATTGTTAATTATTTAAACTATTAAATTTACGAAGTGTCTATTCACTCGATAATCGGATGATTAAGGTATATTTTGTCCGATTATATTTATATGTCATGGATAATTGCCACTGTTTTATATTCTAATAAATGAAAAAAATATATTAAAAAAAAAAGAAGATTCTAACCTAGCGAATTTTGAAAATTTTTAGGCTCAAGATTTTTTATTTGTAAAAAAAAAGAAAAAGCCATAGCCTTGGATTTTTTAAGAGAATGTTTCCATATCATAATAAACAAGACACTTGTTATCTAACAGGCTCTTTTTTTAGATTTTAATTTTAGTCTATTCGATCTTATGAGCATTGGGAAATTAATATTATATTCTCGATACTCTTAAAACTCTCCTTTTAAAATTTAACATTTAACAGTTTCTTTCGCCTTCAAGTGTCTTAAAGTATTACATGTAAGTGTTTTCGAAAGTCCTCAATAAAGTTAGCAATTATATTTAAAATTTCTTAATATGCAATAATGTTCGTATATGGATCGTTTCCTTTTACTCACACTGCAGTCGTTACATTCTAGGCTTAGTTGATTTCACCTAGTTATAACGTAACATCAATTTTCCTACTAATATTATAAATGCGAAAATTTCTGAGTGTAGGGGACGCGACATACAACTAAATGCTCGCTAAATTAAATACAGTCTGAGATCGTTGTAAAGTTTATTTATTTAATAAGATATACTGATATACTGATAATTGATGCTAATTAATAAATTTTTTCATTGCTCAAATTATCATTGCTGTCCGAACATGCACTGATTTTTTTAGGAGTAGTTAGAGTTAGGAGAAGTTAGATTTTTCTATGTATTTATAACACACCTACTAAGCATTATTGCTTAGGTGTTCGGTAACAACCTTTGGACCGAACAGTGAGGATGTATAGATGTCTGGATGTATGGATGTTGGTTACTCTTTCACGCAAAAACGACTGAATCGATTTTAATGAAACTTTACAATAATATAGCTCATACATCAGAATAACACATAGGCGTGAAAGAGTAACAAGCATTCATACATCTATATATCCAGACATTCATACATCCTCACAAACTTTCGCTTTTATAATATTAGTAGATTTTTTATTATTTCGCACTTTAATATTTACATTTGCAAAATGTATAAAATCCAATATGCAGAAATAAAATGTGTAGACTAGAGACCGTGACCCTGGTCTTATCGAACTGCATGTTACGGAGGCTTTAAGTTGTTATCGGCTTAATTTTTTTTATTAACTTCTATCTTAAAACCACAGACACTTACAGATATGATAATTATTGTGAATTTTAAAGTACATTATATAAAAAGTGTCATTGGCGAAGTAATCTGCGCTCAAATGGCACTTTGAAGTCATTAACAAGAAAATTGAATTGAATAAATTCAATAAAATAACATTACTCAATGTCAAGATTTCAAGACCTAATAGCGGGTTCATTAATTTTATTGTATATATTATTAAATCTGTTATTTTTCTTATTTATTTATCAAATCTTATCTTATTTACCAAAATCATAAACAACTACTTTTATCTAATCAATAAGTAAAAAAAAGTTAATAAGCGCTAATGAAATGAGGTCGTGTTACTAATTATTAAGTGGTGGTCGTCGGTAGTCACGTGTTCGATTCCCAACAGAAATCAAATCCAAACTTATTGTACAAATCTATATATGTACAAATCTTTACTGACCTGAGACTAATGTCATCCATATCTGAGCTCCGAGATGCGTCGCAACGGCCCCTACGTACAACGCTCTCCAGCCTCTTATGTTAGCGCTGGACCCGGACTTTGTGAGCCACACTATAACCACTAGCACCGCGAGCGCCACGTGGAAGGGTTGTGTTGTCTTTGTCGCTATTCTGTGAACAAAAATTAATTAATTATTATATTTATTTACCATATCTTACACAAATAATAATCATATTATGGAACAGCTTCCATCTGGCTAGTAAAAAGTTCAGTAACCTATAGATACTGCGAAGGTAGCGTCATCTACTGATGAGTTTGTGAAAAAATACGAAGCGTAGTTTAATTTTGTATTATCTTTAAAAATTATATATACCCCATGCTATGTATACTAATAAAAAAAAAGATTTTTTGTATGTTTCTTTGTAATGGATAAACTTAAAAACGGCTGGACCAATTTTAAAATTTCTTTCATCTGTCAAAAGCTTTTTTTTAACGTTGGGAAATGCATTTACGCACGAGGTGTGGGACTCACCGGCAAAACCAGTACTACCCACTAAAACCCAACAAACCCTTCCCCCGTCTTAATGGGGCATCGCAGGATCGCTTACGCATTCAACTACGACGCCCCGACGGCAGGTCTACCGAAGCAGACCACAACAACTGTGGGGTTGCTCCAAGGTCCACTCTGCTATCAGAGAAGTACCAGGAGCAACCCGCATAGCACACCACCCACGAAAGAGGGCCACCTCCCACCGTCCACCGAAGTGGGCCACCTCCCTGTGCGTTTCTTGGCTTCGTGCCCGGCTACTTGCCGGGCACTACTGACCCCCCCCCCCCACCACGACAAGGTGAACGCACGTTGGGGGGGTTATCTGTCAAAAGCTACATTAACAACGAGTAACATGCGCCATTTTTAATTTAAAAAAAAAATTAGATTTCCCTACGGAAATTGCAATAACGTAATCTAAGGTATGAAAAACTTGCCTATAGTAGTCATTATTTAGCGTGCTCTGTGAAAACTAGGGATGAACCTGAGCGAAGCGAAGGTGAGTCGCTATAAGCTACATATATTGTTGTAATGTAAAGTGTCCTCAATCCTCAACTTTCGCGTTCATAATATTAGTAGCAAATAGGATTAATGCACAGTCCACAGACATACAGGAAAACAAAGCCTTTAAACTTATAAAAACGTATTTAAATAGTCTATAATGTAAATAATTTCATAACATCTATCTATGAATAAATCACACTTCGAATTCTTTAGAGTGTGCTCTATTAAAACCAATAAAATCAATTGTGAACACAAAAATGTTTTATTGACATCTGATTAATCGTTTATTAATTTTCATACCATAAATATTTTATACAATAAGTATAAAATCTTTTTTATCTATTCTAATATTATAAAAAGAAAAAAAAATGTTTGTTTATATGGAATAGGCTCCGAAACTAGTGAACCGATTTAGATGAAATTTGGTAAAAAGATATTTTGAGACCCTGGAAAGAACATAGGATAGTTTTTATCCCGGAAATCATCCCTTAAGGGGGTGAAAATGGGGAAAGTTTACCATAAATGAAACGAATCTGATACTAATTCCATCACAATGTGTGTATAGGTGACATAACTATTGCAATATGAAAACATGCTACGTCACGACATACGAAGGCGTTTCCATTTTACGACGTCACAGATTACATATTAATAAGAAAATTATTTTTTTTATATTTTATATAGTTTTTATCTTCGCATGGTAATTAATAACCGATTAATTAATCTTCAAATTTAATGTGAACGATATTATTAACATATAATTTGATCGTCTTTAGATAAAAACTGTGAGTTTTGATAATGTTATTTAAAATTAAAATGGTTACGTATAGTCATTACAAATTTTATTTTTATTTATTACTATTTACTTTCTTGATCATGTTAAAAAATATGATAAGTATTTGCTAATATTGTGAAGGAATGTAATCGTGAGGGAATCTGCTATCTTAGAGGACGTAACTAGTTTTCGAAAGACATGTGGATTGTGCCAACCAGCACTTGATCAACGTGGTGGACTACGGCCTGAGTCCCTTCCAATGAAGGGAGGCCTATGCTCAGCAGTGGGATATTAAAAAAGGTTACACATATACACATACACATATCACTATAACACTAGAATACTTCAATAGTTTCAAACAACAAGAGCTTTCATATTTTATATATATATATATATATATATATATATATATATGTATATATATATAATATAAAAGGAAGTGTCAATAATTAAATAGTTTTATCAACTTTTGTCTGACCGTGACCCACAAGCAAACAGCTCAAGCGGCCTCATACTCGCGGTACCTTTCAAATATATTGTGCCAAATCTATAATATGTGACGAAATAAGTTAAAGTATGAAAAAAAATATTGCAGCTGTTATGGAATTTCATACAAACAGGTGTTCGTCCAGTGGTCGAAAGTCAACAATAATAATCATTATCTGTAAAAAAACTAACCGTTTTCATATATTTTTTATAGATAACATAAAGGTCGTAAATAGCTACCTACTAAATTTTAAAAAAAGAAAATTTTCTGACAAATAGAGAAGAAAAAGTTCTAAGCTATCTCGTCTTTGCCTATTTATATATAGATTGGTGACTTTGCAAGTGAAAGCCTTTATAAGATCTTCACCAGTGCACCGATGAAATTTTTGTTTTGCGGCTTATTTTTCACATTGTAACGACTAACGAGCTAAAAAATGTATTATAAAGTATTTAAGGAAAGCAAGTAGCTTTGTTTATTTTTCTTTATATAGGTAACTAGCAATGCCCGCGGCTCCGCCCGCCAATGACCAAAGACCAAATTCTTAGGTTTTACATATTAGTATACTCTTACAATGCAGTTTTTGTATTTTTTCTCAGAAATGATATATTTTCCCGCAGTAAAAAGTATCCTATATGTTGACCCGGATAACCAGCTATCACCATACCAAATTTCATTAAAATCCCTCCAGTCGTTTTTCTGTGTTGTGGTAACAGACAGACAGACAAAAATTCTAAAAAGTATAAATTCGGTCTCTGTATCGATAATAATGTTCATGTCAATAAGATTTTTCAAAAAATATTTAATGTACATATTCGGCTTAGATACAATTTTATTATATGTATAGATTTATATTAAAGTAAATTCAAGTATCTACTCAGTCGATATCTCTGAATTGTGTGATGTCAATATTTGGCAACGTGCCTCGAAGCACGCTCATCTGTGATAAAGCAAAGGCCTAATTAATGGGTTATTTTGCAAACGAGCTTGATGAAATGATTGCATTTGAGCATCGATTTGTTTGGTCTGTACCAAATAGCTCGTGACCTATCCTTCTGACCGACTTCGGTCGCAACGGTCAGTCTGTAAACATGAGTTAAGGAGGTATATATAATAGAAACAATGTCCTATTGACCGATTTTCGGTCACGATACCAAATCTCACTCAGGCCAGCCATTATGGTGTACAAGAGAATATGTTATTATTTTACAGTAAAATAATAATAATATAATAATGCCTAAACAACATTTTCGTCAAATATATTGTTTAAAATATAGGTATTTGACTAGAATGTTATTATTTGTCTACATTTTTTTAATATTTGAACTGAGCAAGAATCGGATCGACTACTTGGTTCATATATCAGTACATCCATCCTAATAGTATAAATGTGAAAGAGTGTTTGTTTGTTTTTTTTTCGAAACAGAGTGACGGATTGACTTAATTTTTGTGTGAAGATAGTTGGAGGGCTAGAGAGTGACAAAGGTTACTTTTTACCGCGGGAGATAATCTCATTCCTGCGGGACAGCACGTTATAATACAACCCAAAAATTACTTATGATCAGAATTACTGCTCTTCAATACAATTAAATAAATATGTGTCTTTCTCGAAATTCATTCCATTCAAGGGTAAAATAGAGGGTTGAAAGATATGAAACCTACTTATTTAGAATTTTTCTGTAGTTATAGCGCGGGTGAAGCCGCGGGTTCAGCTAGTATTTTTATATATTTATTGCCCGTATATTTCAATAATCTTATTTTGGTATTTGTCGATAGAGTAAATGAAAGGAGTCAATGCTGAGACTCCTTGACATGGTCTCACTAACAAGGCTCTTGACTACTTGATTTAATATTTATAAAACTAATTAGAATATCCGCTGTTATTTCCATAGAAATAAAGTATAAATAAATTAAAATCTATTAACATTAACTAATGAATTGGTTCAAGAAAATAACCTATTTCCTTTTTATATCTCATGTTATGAATGTAAAATTAAAACTATTGATTTAGATTACTAGTAAGTTTACAAATTTGTTTTGCATTAATTTAGTTTTTATATTTCTTTATCAATATTTCAACAAAACCTACATTTATTAAGTATTTAGCCATTTTTAGCTTCCCACTGCTGGGCATGGGCCTTCCTTCAATACGTTACCATCCATAATAGATATGGAGAACAGATACCAGATATGGATCTGGCCATAGTCAAAGTGGAAGGTCAGGCCAAGTGCGGGTTGGCAGACTTCACATGTCTTTCGAAAACATGTTCGATTCTCTCAGACATGCAGGTTTCCTCATGTTTTACTTCACCATAAGACAAGTGATAATCATATTAGAAATGATTCGCACATGAAAATATCAGAGGTGCGAGACCCGGTATATGAACCCGCTTCACTCGGTTTCCCAAGCGAGCACGTTACCACTGGGCTACTACTGCCTTGCATTTATTAAATTAATTAAAATTTCAGAATAGCCCCATCCTTATCAAGCAAAAAAAAAGAACCTTCTATGAGTCATCGAACTGATAAGCGTAATCGTTCAAATAAAGGCGTCTAAAAGTTTAAAGTTTTATTCGGGACGGTATTGACATCGCTAGATAAGGTACAAGTCTATTTGTTGATTACTAAAGTGTTACATTTAAATACTTGAAAATCAAGGATTTAACGAGAAATGTTAAAAGCATTCTTCAATCATAAGATAACATGGTGACAGGTGGAGTATAAAAAATTTTATGGCTCACCTCACTTATTGTAAGGGAATGTTTGTGTGTCTGTGTGTTTTTGTTAATAAAGCACTTACTGAGAAATCATATCATATTTGGGGTCAGCTCAAGATATTATTTTAGACTAAATATAAATC